GAGACGAGCGCTTCCAGACCCGTTTTTTTTTTAGTTCTGCTGACGGGCCCTAGAGGAATCTGCCGTGGGATCATAAAACGGTGAGACCTGAATTTGCAGTTCCTCAAAAGATTAGCCTGCCCGCTCTGCATTTGTGCAGTTTGGAATTTATCGTAAATAAAAACCGAACTGTTGGGGAAAAGTTGGTTTTTGTTTTCCCCCTTGGAGCCCCTAGACGTTAACTAGAATAAAGAATTTCGGAGTTTCTGTAGACTTCCAGATGTTGATGTAGATGTTATCGTTGTACGTTGGAGAAGTGTTTTGTCTTTTCACTCTCGCTGAGGCGCAGCAGGGGGCAGCCCCTTCACACACAGTAGAGGAGCTACACCCCTGGGTGGCACCACAGCGTGGGAGTGTGTGTTACATCCTCACAGCTCCGGGGTCCCGGGTTTGATTCCGGCTCCAGGCACCAGTCTGAGTGGAGTCTGCCTGCTCGTTCTGCGTTTCTGTGGGCGTTCACCTGGTAACGCAGTTCCCTCCCGCCTCCCGCCTCCCGCTGGCAAGCCAGTTTATGGCTGATCCGTGACTCCGGATGGTCCCTTTCCCAGGGGTGTCCATCCTTGCGTTGTTTCCGTCCCGTGGTGCGCACGCAGGCGTCCTAGCGTTTCAGGAGTTCGGCTCTTCTGCGTGATCGCCGCGGGCCACTGCTGAAACAGGAACTGAAAACAGGACCCTGTTGTTCGGTTGCTGCTGGAAAGCTAGTGTCTCTCTTTCCGGACGGCTATAAATGGTATTTTGTTCCCGTTTGGCCTTCGTTATTTAATTAAAGGGCTGTGCCGTGGCGGAACCAGCCCTCTGGCGTTCCTGTTTATATCGGCTGATGTGTAAATCCATCACGTCTTTCATAAAGGAAGTGTTTCGTTTTTATATGACGTAGTGAGCTCTAGCGTGCGCTGGCCACGTTTCTGCTCACCCAGGTCCAGATGAACAAGGCGCATTTAGAACTGACTGGTGAAGTCCAGGGTGAGTCTTTTTTATGTTGAGGAAAGCTGAGCGACATGCTGTCTTGCTCAGAGGAATGCACCTTTGTCCTGACTTCACTTCCAATCAATCCGGAGCTTCAGCCCAGCTGGAGTCCTGGTATATGAGCTGCCACTCGTTGCTGGCGAGGAGGAGCCACAGTTGTGTGTGGGGAAGCAGTCCCCGGGAGAGGCAGGTGCACATGGACGATGGCAAGAAACTGGCTGAGGGTTCTGGAGAGCGGTTTATTCCTCGTTCCTGGAATTTCCTGGAGTGAGTTTTGATCTTTTAAAGAGCTCTGCCCCTCTCCCTTGAGCACAGCTGGATCGGGATGAAGCCAGAACTGTGACCCACCTGCTCGTGGCAAATTCCAGTCCGCGGTTCCAGATCGGCATGGCAGGTGTCCGGTGGGAGAAAGAAGGGAGCCTGCATCAGGTGGCTGAGTCCGCGATTTGGGATGGGCAGGTGGTTCAGAGTTTTGATTTAATTTAGGCCTCCGTCCAGGCTTGGCAACCTCATTGTGCCAAGAAGCGCACCATTATAGCCGAGAATAAGATCTGCATGCAGATGTGATGAAAACAGACTATCTTGTGTGCCTTCAGATGTTCAGTGAATAGTCATTGAACAAGTCTCTTTTTTTTATCTTCTTTTTGCTTAATGAGGCTGGGCCTTAGGAATTCAGGCTAGATTTAAACACTTCAGATCTCTACCAGGCCGTAGTATTGTCATGAGGTCTGGTGTGTCGGTCCCCCCCCCAGGTGTGGACTGCACCTCTGCACCGACTGTAGTATCCAGGCCTTGGATCTTGCAGGACTTTTTCCCCTCCTGCAAAGCTTCTTGGTGGCAGTACTCAGTGTGCAGAAGCACCTGAAATCTGCAGCTGCTGTGCACCATCCATGTTGCTGCTCTGCAAATTGCAGAAGGACTGCTCTTGGTTTGCTCATAAGAGTTTAATTGCTCCTGCTAAAGAGGAAGGCGCTGTTGTTATGTCCGGTAGCCGCGAAAAGCCAGCGCCTGTAGGACACGAGCGTGCCCATCCGTGCCCTCGCCCCCACACTCTCCCCCGTTGGCACGTTAAAAGTGCGGGCGCTCTTTGGATGGGTGCGCGCCGGTGCTTCTCCAGCAAGCTGCTCGGCTCTCTTCTGCTTTGCAGTTTCGGTTCTTCTTCGCGTCAGAGGGCCACCTGGCCTGGCGTCCTGTGCTTAGTGCCTTCGAGGCCAGCAGAGCCCCGTGTGGCTTCGTACGTCTGCTGGAAACGGGTGCCGGGTTTGCGAGTGGATCCTGATGCCCAGAGTGGGAATTGGTGTGAAATTTCCCCAGAGCGAATCAGCCTCTAGGTTGCATTCATGAAGTGACTTGTTGCTGTCCCGCTTAAATTGGGCCGCATGCTTGCTTTTGACTGTGGCTGAGGGGTGGGTGTGCTGTTGTAACCCACTGAGCACCCTCTTGATGGACGCAGAAGTGTGCTCTTCCTGTACACCGTCAGCGGCGGCTTTTGTAGCACAGGGAGTTTCTGCCTGGCAGCAGGAATTCATTTACGTTGGGGAAGCCTGCTTGAACACATCTTTAAGCATACTTTCTGTTCAGGGTACTTGGGGGGCGGGGGAGTGTGTGTGCCTGTGACCGCAGGCATGCTGGGGCTGTGAAGAGCGTGCATTGCACTGAACATCTGTGGTCGAAGACCTGGAACAGAGAGGAGGGAAGTTCTGTAGCTGGAAGTCATGCTGGTACTGTCCACTGATTTACAGAGTGTCCTCTCAAAAGTTAACTGGCAGATGTAAGGCAGTTTTTTTTCTCTCGGCTGTGAATTGGCTTTGTCGTCTTTCGTTGGACACACCATCTCCTGGAAGTAGGACGACTGGTATTCCAGAAAGCCTCAGGAGGATGTAGTCTCTTCACAGCCAAAGGAAGTGATGTTTTGTTAGCAAGTAAGAAGCACAAATGTTGTCGGACGAAATGGCTCCGGTCTCCAGTACAGGAAGGAAGGGGGAGCTTAGTGCCTCGCAGAAGAGAATAAGCCTTTCCCTGTGGGCCGAGGATTTTGCTGAGCATTCATTTGCACGCAGTTTGCACCGTTTTGACTTATAGAACACCGAAGGGTTTATATGCGGAGGTTATCAAGTTTGCTTCCAGCGTGCTCGTGTGCTTTGATTTAGCAAAAGCTCTGAACTTGCATGCTTGTGGGAGTCCTAGTACTGCTTTATTCCTGTTAAACCGCCCAGTCAGGTTCCCTGTGACCTTCAGTATCTGTTGGAATAAGGGAGCGCAGTGATTAACTTCCTACGGCTGGCACACCTCACCATTCATAGGTTAACTATTAGCATTTGATCATAACGCAGACTAATCTGAGGTTCACACCCATTCGACGAGTGTAAATTGTGTGCGTGTGCGTGTGCTCTGTGATGTGCTGGCGTCCCGTCCAGTGTGCAGTCCTGCCTTGCGCCCTGCTTACAGGATGGGCTCCAAGTTACCGTATCGTCTACCAGGAATCCCTTATTGCAGTGAAGTAGCTAGCTTTCCCTCTGTATTTCAAAAAATCTGCACATAATCACATAGTCTCAATTAAGAGTGTCTTTGCATACTATGCATATTATCTACAAACCCAACCTGCCTCAAGTTGTAGGTTTTCCTAGGCTGTCTGGCTGCTCCAGGGAATCTATAGAGCAGTTTCGAGGAAGCAGTCGTCCTGCTCCCGATAGCAGGAGTTTGCAGTACTGTGGAAGACGCAGTAAATCACAGCTCCGCCTGGTGAGGAAGTTCCTCCCTCCCTGCCGCCCTGGGCCCGCCCGGTCAGGGTGGATCGGGGGCAGGAGGTGCCCGGCGAGGGTGATGCCATCTGCCCAGAACCGGAGCCCAAACAGTGGCGGCTGAGGTGATGCCACATGGCCGGAACCGTAGCCCGAACAGTGGCAGCTGGGGTGATGCCACGTGCCCTGGACACTCTTAGCACCGGTAGCTGAATGCTCTGCGATGAAGAGCCACTGAGCTAACGGTGAGCAGCACCAACAAGGAGCGCCGAAGTGGTGCGTACTGCACCAGCACTTCTTGTCCGACGGAAAAAGCGAGGTGAAAATCTTGAAAGAGTCGCCTACCTGGTGCCAGATCGTGTGCAAGGGAGTGTTGCAGCTGAAGATCAAGTTGTTATGCTATGGGAGTCTTATAAACCTACAAGTCGCACTACAGGAATTTTTTACCGCAATGTTTTGGATGAACTTGGTTTGAACTGTGAAGTTAAAATTGAAGCAGCAAAAAAAAAAAAGGCAAGAAATAATTACATCCGCGGATCAGCTTTTTCTCCTAGTGCAGCTAACTGTGTAGCTGAGGTTTCTCCAGTGTAACTAGGGTCCTGGGACGAGAAGCCTGTTTTCCGTCGACAAAGAGCCTTTTGTGTGAAAGAATGCTTCAGGAAATCATTCAAATTATATGCATTCCCTCCTGTTTTTTCTTCACTTAATAAGCAATGGAGAGTGAGGCATTTGCATTATTCTGACAGACGTCTATTAAAAGCAGCAGAGTTTCTTTTGTTTGTGCGGATGTGTGTGTATGTGTGAAGCCGGTCCAGCTGTTGACGTTGCAGGGCTGCTCTTTTTATTTGCATTGACAGCCTCAGCCTCGTTACAGATAAGAAACCCTAATTCCAGCTCGGCTGTTTGTTTCAGACAGCGAGAGTGGCTGTGTTGCGCGGTTGAATTTTGCTGCCCAGCTGTCTCCACGTTCTTGCCGGTCTCCTGAGGAAGCGGCGCCGTTTTAGCAGCGCGTTCTTAGCCGTGCTGGAATTAACCCTTCGCGTGCGCCAGCTCGGGAAATTGGGTGGCTATCGGTGCGCTCCGTCACTGTCTGCCTCGCCGTACGGCTAAGCGCGTGGCTCATTGCTCTCTGTACCTGCTTCCCACTCAGCCTCTGTCTTCTCATCCGGATTTCTCCCTCTTGCTCTCAATCTCTACCCCCCACTCTCCTTGCCTGCCTTCCTGACCTCCTAATTTTGCTCTCTGCCCCTGCAGACAGCGCCCTTGTCCTCTCCTGTCCTGCTGGTGAAGATGGTTAAGCCAGACATCCACACTCTGGCCCATCACCTCAAGCAGGAGCGGCTCTACGTCAACTCGGAGAAGCAGCTCATCCAGAGGCTCAACGCGGAGGTGCTCAAGACGGCCGAGAAGCTGTACCGCGCGGCCTGGATCGCTAAGCAGCAGAGGATCAACTTGGACCGATTCATCCTCACCAGGTAGGCGGCACCCTCTCCCCCAGCTGTCTTGGAGCGGGGGGGCCTGTGTGCTACAGGCACGGGGGGGGGGGGATGAGTGAATGATTAGGGTGGCTAACCAGTTCATCATGAACAGGAGACGACCCAGGGGAAATTTCGGATGCCGGACTTGAGGGTGTCATTTACCCCAGCAAGTGCTGGATCAGTCAGATTTCCACAAGACTGCAGACAGCTGGTGCAAGTTTACCAATTTGTAGTTGTTAAGTATTTTCGCCTCGGTTGGTTTAAAAGAATCGTTGACGTGTGGGTCTTTCTGTTGCACACGTCAAAGCCCAGTCTTTCATGCGCTATTTGAGGCACTTCCTCTTCGCTGCGGGGAGATGCTCTTTTTTTGCAGCAGCAGGTTTCACCGCTTCATCCAGACCTTCTCAAGTTCCTCAATCAGCTCTTAGCTACCCATGTGGATTATCACACTGCACACGTATGCGATCTCACAGTCCTCTGGCTTACACATGTAGCGGATCTCTGTCTGATTAACCTCCTGACGTCAAGCTTCGTTTGACACGGGGGTGCTGGGCGCACAGAATTATGTGAGTTTACATTTGGGTCCACTGGCACAAGACAGCGTACCTCCTTTTAATTTGCTGTGTCATTATTCTAAATATGCAGTGCACACACAAGAAGAAATTGGATGTTTTTCTATATCAAGTTAATCTGGTAAATGCAAGCTGGTGTCCGGCAAGTTAAAAATACTCTGTCTCAGTGGGTATCTTAAAATGCACACTTTTGAGGGTTCAAGAGAGTGTTCTGGCTTACTAAAGCTCTGGAATGGGCCATGCCTCTGTTCCGAACACTGTCCCTACGAATACCTGTTTTTAAAACGCACTGCCTGAGTTTTGTGGCACACTCTGCTTCCTTGTCATGCAGCAGATGGTTTTAACATCGGAGTGCAGATGAACAGGGCTTACCCTGGAGAGCCAGCTGCCATGAAGGCTAGAGAAGCATCTCCTGATGACACTGTAGTCTCTGATCGTCCGTGTGCAGACTTGTTCACTCGAAGTCTCCTGCCATGCAGGGTTATTCTGGAATTGCATCGGAGGGCCTGAATGTTGTTAGGTTAGGGCTTTAAAGTATTGGACGGATTTTCCCAGCTTAGCACACGCTGCAGATTCAAAGACACTAGTAAAACTTGCAGGGATGAAACCCTGCAGAAAGGGAGATATTAACCCGTGCAAACACTCTAAAGAACTTAAATGGGGAAACTGGGGGAGAGGAATACTGTGATGCTGAGACCTGGGGGTCATCTCATCGCACCCT